TAAGTGATTATAAATACAAAATTTCGCCTTTTACCTTCCTCTTAATCAAAACGTGTCTTCTCCGTCATTGTCTAGATGAGAAACTGTTACTGACGAAAGTTTTGGGGAAAACAGAAGTATTTATGACAAGACAGGGTGTAGTAATATGAAGCCTGTGTTTTCCCTGATATAGGAAGTATGAAAGGAGTCTTATTACTCATAATTATGTTAGTAGCTTATTAGTCCCAAACTATCGAGATGTCAATATTGCCATAGCCGACTACAAATTGCGCATTTCCTTATGGAAAAACTTTTACTCGAATCGGGAATCGTAGCAATTGTACTTGCGACTAACAGAACATAAAATAGATAGTACTGACGTAAAAGACTCAAATTACATGGTATTTCACTTTATGCAATTATCCTATAGTGATGATGATGCTGAACTTTGTACACAAGACAAGAAACAACTTAGGATGACTTTGAACTGAAATATAGATGGTCTGTGTCATCATTTTATTGTGTTACATTGTACCAGTAAGTTTCTTAGCTAGAATACCATAGAAACGATTATTGATTGATAATTTGCTGTAAACTTAAAGCAGAAAGCAAGGGTGCTCTGTGTAAACCTGCATCAAAAGCTAAAACTAATATACTTAAAAAAAAAGAAGTTGCAATCTTCTTTTTGCTATATGTAAATGTAAATTGTAAATATTTTTTGCCAACTTAAGAATAAAAGAAACATGTAATGTTTTGAATATACTAAGAAGTTGCATAGTCATGCCAAAAGAAAGAAAAATGTATCTAGTTTTATTCCATTAAAACCAAGACCTTATCAAACCAATTTAAAATATGTAAACAGACTACCAAAAACAGCTCAATATCTTTACAAAATAGAGAAATAAACATTAATTATACATATAATTAATGTAGTCTCGTAAATCTCACATTATAATATTATCTTGTCACACTAGTTTACAAAAAGGTCATATCACATTCTAATGTCTAGTAGGTAGTAGTCACAAACATGAGTGATGTTAGGAAACATTTACTAGTTAAAGATAGCAAGGCTATGTAAGTAATTAAATAATTTAATAATGAGCATTTTTGCTATAATTTGAATATACCTTATTGATGAGATAATACAGTTGTCTTTGTACCTATTAGATTTATTGAATTATTTAAGAAATCTTTAAAATAAAAACATGAGTAGTTTGATTGAATAGGTAGTAAGTAATAAATGCAACTGGTCTCTAAGTAAGGTCCCTAATAAGCAAAGCTTAGAAAAACAGACATTTATAATTTTAAAATGACCAAAATATCTTTGTAGAATAGAGTCAATGGTTGAGGACTGCTTTAATTTATAGCATAGAATCTAAATCATTGAATAAACTGGCAGTGAACCATTGAACTTCTACTACAAAGAAATTTTAGTCATTTTAAAATTGGTAGAGTGTAATTGTATTTTTGACCCCTGACTGTATGTACTGTTCATAAATGTTTATGAACAGTATATTATTCTGTCATAAATAGTAAGACCACTAATATAGTACAGTCATAGCTGCCATCTTGAGAATGTTATCACATGAATGGGAGTATTTAGATCTGTCAGCAATTAAGTACATAACATTTTTAAAGTTTTTACCAATCAAGATGAAACTGGTATAACAATCTACCCTATTATAACTAGCTTTATACACAAACTTTTTCAATTTTTTTTTCTGAGTACCCTGATAGACAATGCTTGCTTAATCAGGCTTAATTTATAAAATATGTATCTGTACATAGGCTTATGGCAAAAATTACATTTACATGATAGGGTTACTTTACACGTAAATAGTAACACTATAATCAAATTATATGTGTTTTATTTTTAAGTTTTATTATGTCACATGTGATTACAAGGTTAGCCACTTTCAGAATTAACAAAGTTAATTAAATGTAATTACCACCACTTCAATGTTAGTAAACCGTACATCAGGTACTCAGTTTCATTTTATAAATAAATAGCAACTTTTGAACTAGAAATGTGATAACAGACTTATCATTTGACTTTTATTTAACCTTATATAAGAGGGAAATGTGTCAGGAAATTCATGTATTTAGCATATATTTTCTTTTAGATTTTCTCAAAATTTTATAACTTGTGTCTTATTTACCTACCTGTTGAAGCTAATCTCTTCATCATGGTTAACATCTCGGTATCCAGCTAAATATAGTTTGACTTAAAACCATTGTAAACCCACTAAACACAAACTACTACACTAAAACCACAGCCAACTACATGGAAGAAAAAAAACCATTTCTATATTTTGCAACATATATGGAAACACTAAAAAGTGACACAGCAACTTACCTGGAAGTTGGAACAATGAACTAAAGCAAGCAATAGGAAAATGGGCATAATAAAATATTGACAAAACCAATATATTAATTTAAATCCAAATGCTATAGTTTTACACCTAAATAACAAATAATCATGAAACTACTGTAACCTAAAATACCAATATCATTGACATAAAAACTTAATGTTTGCTCTCTGTAATTTCTACCAAAGACAATATTTTTAATCTATGGTCAGTGAGGCCATATTTGTTTACCAAATCGCCTGCTTCATCAAGCCCACAGTACCACAGTACTAAACTTTCACTGTACAATGGTTAATCATTACAATGAATTATTTACATACTTTCTATTTTACTTAATGACTGAAGGTACTAAGACAGGACATAAAAGAAATCCTTATAAGAGCTTAATATTTGTCTACCCCACAAGTTGATGACCCTCTGTAATAAAATTGCACTTAATCTTACTTATAAAACCCTATTAATAACCTTGTAACTTAAACCATAACCCTGTTGTATCATCATTTTCAATTTAGTATGTTCTATGATGTGATAAAAGAGTTAGGTATATGGGTAACACTTTAGGAATATACCTAGCATTCTACTTAGAAATGGATCTCAAAAAATTCTTATTAAAAGATTAGACACAGCTTGAAGGCATTCATTTTTCTATATGTTGACACATGTATAGCATTGCAACTAAGTGTTGTACAACATAACATACCTATGCATAAGACATGTTGTTAATGCCCTAAAGACATGTCCACTTGCATCAAGGCAAACTCCCATAAGATCACAAGTTTAGTGTAGGCTGAGCTATGTTCCTTTTTATGTTTTTGAGTTGAAATCGAAGGTTAATATTATGTGATTCATTAAACATTGTTTCTTATTATGTACTGGGAACTTTGTTTCAATTATATTGAGTTATGATTGGTGTTTTACATGAAAATACAGTCATGCCAATTCTGAGTGCAAAGGATTTTAACTTAGGAGAAAGTTTCAGTTCATGTTTTGGCCATACTGTTGTTAATTTGTTATCAACGTGTTAGGTTTGTAGATTACACAATGATGTTGATATTTTGAAAATCATAGCTAACTCATGCTGTACGCCTTTAAAACAACCATGTTTGTCACTAGCGCTAGTGTATGAGTCTTCGGAAATACAGTATTGAATTGTTTGAAGGAAAATACATGTAGCTGAGACAATCGCTGAGGAAGAATGAGCAAAACAATGATTCAGTTCAGGTATTGACATAATAAATATTCATGTTAAAGCAATTTACATGAACATGATTTGAATAACACAAAACTTTGTATGAAATCTGCCAAAACTATGTGAAATCATGAATGTTTGTTCAGTTTACTTCATATTGAGTTTCCTTTGTGTGGTTTAAGGGACTTTAAGACTGATTTCTTAAATTCCTCCCATGTTATGTTTGCCATGAAAATGAACTGTGTTATGCCATAAATGAGATTAAAATGTAGTTCTATTCCAATAAGACAAACTTCATATGGTTTGTGCTAGGGAGTGGCCAACTTCAAAGTAATCCAAAACCTACATTCTTATTAGAAGTCAGTTTTTGAAACATGTAGAACTCTGGGCAATTATAAACACTGTCAACTTTGATTAGCAGTAAATGTAATTAAGGAAGATATTATTTTATTTCAATGTCTATTTTCCTTATAGACTGATGATAAAAGCAATTAAACAGTCACCACAAGATTAAGTAGATTTCATCACAATAAGAGAACTGGGTTCTCATCACATAAAGGAACTTCCTTCATGTGGTGAGATTATACTAAACTGGACATTCACACCTAGACAGATGTAGGGTGTCATGGATTCTTTAACAAAACCACATGAATAGTCAAAGTACAGGTTAGTACTCATAGGGTGTGGTACCATTGATTATTCACACCAATGTCCACTTAGTGCCTAAACTAAATAGAAGCAGAATCACAAAATACTGCAGCTAGGAAAGCCATTACTTTAATCAATGGGCATGTGGTAGCTGACTAAAACTGATAGAAGGCCAGTCCCAACAACCAATGGGCGTTTTATTACAAAAATAGTTGGAATTATAAAAATATTATTCACGTCACGCACGGGACAAGAAAGATTGATCATAATTGTCATTCAAATTAGTTTCGCCAAGAGAACCGTCTTATCTGTCGATTATCTACATCAGAGACCCGATTTACAGCAAAAATACAATCAGATTCCAATAGTAATTCTCAAACAGTGGCTTATTGGCGGTAACATGAGGTAAAAGGTGGATTATAGTAACGAATCGATGTCGTTTCGTCTAGCAACAGGGCTGTGGCTACATGGCCTCTTATACATACCTATAACTATGTACACACCCCCCCACTTTTTCCAATAAATGTTCAATAATCTTCCATCCGGTGGTCTTAATCGAGGTCCTGGCGCTCCACGGAAGGCGTACGTGACACTATCAACCTAATAATACTCCCATATCAGCGCTAATGCGCGATCCACGAAACGTTTTACACCGGCGAAGCTACGCGCATACACCCAAGACGGCTAACGACTTCGATATTCGATTTGTAACAACTATATACGCGAATTAACGACATTACAAATGCGCACCAACATTACAGGACATAAGCAAGAAAAAATTGCACGATCAGGCAAAAAATATATCAGGATTTTACCCTTCTGTCAGCAATGTCCCTTCGATCGTCGCTCCAGCGGTTTTCGGGCGCGTCCTATACCGGCATTAAGACAGGATTCTCACTTTTTGGCACATTTTGTATCTTGCACAGCACCACACTAAATATCGAATTATACACCAGTTTTTAACACGCTAAAATCCAACATTAGCTCTTCATACACCCTCGAATCTCGAGTTCAGTCCTTTTCACGGCCATTTGCAAATTGCGTCAAAGTTCCTAGAACGTGATTGGTGTTCACTGCGCTAGTGTAGTTTGATTCTGCAGCGCCATCTCCTGATTAAAATAATAACTAAAACACTCGCCGTTTAAAAAAGAACCTTACGACGCACGCAAAAGAGCGACTGAAATATTAAATAAAGGGACTTACTACCTTTAGTTTGGCATAAAATAGGGTGCGGTACAGTAGAAATGAGAACCCCGTGACGTCAAACTGGGCGTGAGAATAAAAAAGCGGAATTTTTAAATTGTCTGGTGAAAAAAATAAATTAATTAAACCTGTTAGAAGAATTATTATAATTAAATTACTTAAAATATAAAGTGAAACATAATTTATATAGAGTCATTATTTGTTGCATAAACTCAGTAATATTGCAAAACTCATTTTAATCTAACCTACTACGATATTTCTTCGATCTATCTGCGTTCCTTTACAGACAGAACCATTTTCAAATTATCATTTATCAACATTTTTGATTAAGTACAAATTTTATTTGTATCACAAACACATAAATAATTATATGAACAGCTTATTTACTACCTTAACTTATTTGATTTTATATTTTTTTTACAGCACAATTAAAATTCCCATTCAAAATGGTATTTAATTTTATTACTGTAATGAGACTAATGAGAAAGAAATTGTCAATAAAATATTTTTGTGTATTTAAAACCAATAAGTTTAGTTTATGCAAATCAATTTATTATCATTCTGTTTATAAAGTAGACTTTAGAAGATTATGATATTTATGATAATAATTTCTTTACTGTGTATATTGGCAACATTAAGCACAATAACAGTAATGACAAAATTACAATATAATAATATGTGTATGATTATTGAGTTGTAATTATTATTTTAGTGTAGTCAATTACTTAATATAGGCAAGTTTTTTTGAAGGTGTACACATAGGTTTATTCATTTTTCTTACTGCCAACTCAGTAATAAACGTCAATAGAAGTGTAATGCTGATTGGCGCAATCTCTTTAATCTATTTCCCGATTCGTCGACATTCGCGCTTGCGCAGATTGCCAATCGCAGAGTTGCTTTTGCCTTGTAGTATTTTCTTTCTTTCTTGTCATTTTACGATTATCAGTGAAGTCCATTCTGTAGTCAGCTGCATTGTTTGTTATTGGAAAATAATAAATAGTACTACAGACGTATTTAAATTGTCCGCGAGTGGCGTGTATCGTGCTAACACAATATTTTTTGCGTTAAACAAAATATCCACTAAATCCTTGAAATAGGATTTTGTTTGAGTGTGATCATTTAAATTTGGTGCGATTCGCAGTAGGTTCCCGACCATTCTATTGGTGAGTAATGAATAACGATTAATTAAATAAAGAATATGTATATTGAGTTTAATAACTAATAATTTGTGGTAATTTTCCGACAACCCGGAAGTACTTTTCATAGGGATCTGTTCAAAAAAGGAGGTATTACTGCGCATTGAAAACAAGATGTTTATTGTCCTTGTTTTCTTTCTATCATTTAAGTTGTTATTTTGTTAACAGCTGGCACTTAATTAATGTAAAACCATTATTATATTATTTGGTAAGTAGATAAACTATGTTAAAGTTAATTTTAAAAAAGGTTTACTACTTACTTTTATAAAGCATTTCATAATAACAAAACTGAAATCAGCTGATTGTGTTGTTATTAAAAAGTTTTCAACAATTTATCCTACTTAGATATCATATCAAAAACAAACTTATTTTTTTTATGGTAATAAAATTATTATTATTTTATTAAGCTCAATCAATTTAAATTCTAACATTTTAAAAATTAATTGCAATGTTTCCTACTTTTTATGGCTGTTGCTACATTTTTCCTTATCTCATTTATTTATGTGACAAACCGGGTCACACATTTATATAATTATCGGGCATGATACTGCTTATTATGGAGTCCTTTTTGTCTTAATAGTATCACGAACTTCATATAATTCCTCCCACAGTCCGTCCATTTCTATTTCTTGAAAATGCTTAGGTAGTATAAATGTTTTAATTTAAAAATAGTAGTGATGTACAATTCATGAATAAATAAAAATAATATTGTACTCTTTATTAAACTAACTATTTTCTTTAAATGCTGGTCTTTGCAATTTTTTCTACTGAAGTACCTGGTTACTACTCGTTTTTGAGAGATGCCTCTCCAGCTTTAACCTAACATTTTTAACATGTCATTTAAAAAAGAATGATGAATTCTATGTTAACAACTGCCTTTCTAACTGGCCAGAAGTAGTTTAATAGACAACCTTACCTTCCACCTGCTAAACATAGATGCAGATGTACTCATAATACTCATAAATTAAGAAATAAAATATTTTCACAATATTTTATTTACACTCGCAAAGCTGGCAACTTTGAGGCAGGAAGTCACACAGATCTCAGAAAGCTGTTGCAATTAAAATATCGCGTGACCTGACATCTCACGCGACACAACTTGCGTGTACATGTAGGAAAGAATATTTTTTTCTAATTATTCTTAGAAGCCTCATCTAATATCGCAGTTGATTTTTATTTAGAGGGGTACACATTCATCACGTTGTATTTGTAATTTTGAATGATCGACCTACACTGCGTAGTCGTAACTTTTCCAAGGTTTTACTGCCCTGGATGGGGGGTGAGCGATTTTCTCTCTTATTGACTAAAAGTTCACACTTCTAATCTGAGTTAACCACTTAACCCTGACGTCCATATACTTAATGATTACGTACGATTTATGTGCGAAAGGGTTAAGGCTTACTAGGTATTTTGTTAATTGTTGTTTCGTTTTTTATCCATTTTGTCTTACCTTGTATTTTACTATTTTTTATTTAACATTCGAAAGCCATTTTTCGGCCTAAAAGAAAGTTTCGACCATAGTAATACCAGGGCCTCGCAGAGGACCGTTCTGAAACATCTTGCGTTGTGTTTTGCCGTGTGATTTGGCGAGTAGTCTCCTCCTAAATGTTTAAGAAAATATATATATGTATAGGTACGTTCATGGCCGTTGGACAGGGGTCTAAGAAAGATCTTTTTATGATAAGTACGTAATTACCAAGTAGGTAAGTAACTTATAAAATGGTTTTTTAGGAGGTTTGTTAATTACATCTACATGCAAATTACTGGAAAAGCCAGATTGTGCCATTATGAAATTCGCCCTTTGTACCACCAGCTTACTTACGAATTTTGCAAAGGACAACATTATCTATCTGATTGCCGTTTTTATCTTTGTTTCATAATTCTATAATTACTTATACAAAATGAGCTGACGTTTCCTGTGAATTTCTATACGGATGGTATTTATATGAAAATAATTCATAGTCTAATAATTACAGATTAGAAGTTATCTGAACACGAAGAATAGAACTGTATAAATTATAAAACTGTGATTTTACAGAATTCGTTGTCATGGTATCCCAAAATAGGAAAACGGATAGTTAAAGGTGGCCCACAGATATACCTTTGTGCCCGTCCGTAAGTTAAGACACAGTTTTTTTGATTACTGTGGTTAAGGCGATACGTCATTTGAGTATTAGATTACTTTCTAAAATAATTAAGACCTCACTTACATACTGTGTAGGAAAACATAGTTAGGAAATCTAGACTTAAGTATAATTTCTATTTTTATGTTTGAAATCGTTAATCCGCCTTGAGCAAGCGCGTTGATTAATGCTCAAACCTTCTCCGTGTGAGAGAGGTTATTGCTCAGCCGTGGCCGCTTAGGCTGATGATGATGATGAAGAAAGAATATGTATTATATCTTCAATAAGGATGATGAATAAAAAATCATACTTAGTCCATCTCTTAAAACGCCAGAAAATAGTAGATACGTATTTTTTCTTTTGCTTCTAAAACTTAAAATAACAAAGTTACAGAGCGGCGAAAGTTCGCGCTACGTCATTATTTTGTAACATTTTTACGAAAGAGTGACGTCACGAGCCTACTCCTGAATTTGAATGTGCTGTTAGTATCGAGTATTTTTCTATAATCTAACTGACGGACTAATTAGAATCTTGTTGTTTTATTCCAGGAGACATCCCTAATATAATATATATACTTTTATAGTAGCAGAATAACCTTTTTACCCGACTGCCAAAGAAGGAGGGTAATGTTTTTCGAGTGTATGTAAGTATGTATGTATGTCTTTTCCTTTGTGACCTCCTGTAGCCTAAACGGCTTGATGGATTTTGATGTATGAGGTATCGTTAGATTTGTCTTGATTACGGGAGTGTCATAGGATACATTTTATCCTAAAAGTCCCACGGGATAAAGACATAATAATATTTTTTCTAAATAAAAACAGCTAAAAAGTTTAAATAAAAAAATTATTATTAAAAATACAAAATACCCGACTGCACACTAAAAAAAGAGTAAAACAAGCCCCACAATACAAATTTACTGAATATAATTTATAAATGTTGATGGAAAGCATCGCAGGCGGGGACCACCTTGACCGCCACCAACGAAAATTCTGCTAAATGGTGCACAACAGAAATGACTATAAATAAGCCTCTGTTGGTCCCCGCCTGCGATGCTTTCCATCAACATTTATAAATTATATTCAGTAAATTTGTATTGTGGGGCTTGTTTTACTCTTTTTTTAGTGTGCAGTCGGGTATTTTGTTTTTTTAATAATAATTTTTTTTATAAGTGTTTTTCCACTAAATATCACGCTTGGTGATAAGCGATGATGCGATCTAGTTAATTTTTGCTTAAACTTTAACACAAAGAAGTTAAATGAGCAAATCTCTTAACGGAATATATTACCTTTATACATATTTCAAGTCTCTCTTTTAAACGTTGAACCACTACCTGAACTAACCTTAATATTAATTTATTTTGAAAATCCTTTTCCTTTGTTTCTTTGTGTGAAGACCGATTTGGTTGTCGTTGACAGCACTCGTACAACTCCGTACAAGCTCAAATGCACCTTATTCAGATGGAGAATAAGTTATATCCAGTTGGCTGTTTACGTGTTAATCACTTAATAATTTACAAACATTTTAGACTTAGTTAACTACCTAATTATGGATGTACCATGTAGGTAATTGATGCGGTTTTATTTAACTGTCCTTGATCACAGTTTTGAACACAGCGAAATGTTTTTTCACGCTTCTGTTTCCTCATATTGTTTCAAAAGCCTATGTATTATTAACTAGTTCCTGCACAACGACTCGAAGTTATTATAATATATATATATATATATATATATATATATATAGATGTATCCATTCGGCAAATGTTGATCAGACGGGTTGTAGCATCAGTTAATTGTTGATCAGTTAGCAATTGTTGATCAAAACAGTTTTTGTTGATCTAATGTATGATTCGGCATACAAATGTGGCTCCACTATGATCAACAATTGCTAACTCTCTAGCGGCACAAATAAGAACTATTCATTGCATTTTTTATACAAATCCGCTCCATCAATTGTTGATCTGATTCAAATGGACCAATCAGAGGTCACCTTTGCCACGAATGGTTGGTTTTGTTATGAACTGTTGCCACTTCGCTTTGCAATCTATACGCGATGATGAAAACAAGAGAGTGCCCGTCCTATGTCCGGTCTGTCGAAAGTGAAAGTGGACCCTATGTCCGGTCGTTTCCAGAAATTTGATATATTTTTTATGGCGTTTAGAAAATCGCTAAGAAACCTAACCTAACCATTAGTTTATGTTATAAATTATACATAACATAAAACCTCAAGTTGTTGATTGTAGTTTGTTTCTTGGAAAGAAGAAAGTGAAAAATGGAGCCAGAAACTGTAAGTAAATAGTATAATTATGATTTAATCTATCGAGTAGTAAACATTCACGTCCACAAATGTATTATTTTTGCTGTAAAAGATAAATGCGTGGGGACGCGGCATTTCGCGCCACTTTGTACAAAACTTACTAAGCTTTAATTTATTTGTTTGTAGAATAAAACCAAACCTCTTTCGAAGGAAGAGACGAAAGGACTGCTCTCCTTAATTGAGGGGAACAAGATTATAAATAATAAAAAAACAAACGCCACAAGCAATAAAATAAAGGTCGAAGAATGGACACGGATTGCCGGTGTTTTCAACGCAAACATTGGTACCTGTCGCCGTACACCACAACAACTGCGTCTTAAATGGGAAAACTTAAAGAAGAACTCACGAAAACGCAGTACTTTAATACGAATGGAACGGATCAAGGTAAATAATTAAGTTTAAAATTGACATGATTGTATGTTTATGTTGTATTCATAATTAACGTGTTGAATTATGTCTTATTATGTTCCAGACTGGAGGTGGGCCACCAGGGTACTTTCCTCCTGATGACGTACTGGATAGGGTGGCAGC